GGGCTCTGGCCACGGGTGGCTGAGCTGCAGGCAAACACTGTTTCAGCAGCAGTGACCTTGAGCACAGGGGCAGGGCAGGCAGCTGGGAGCAGCACTGCCAAACCAGACAGGCAAGATTCGTTGGAAACTCCCTGTCAAGGGAAAATGCTTGATTTTTTTTTTGCCACTGGAATTTGTCAGCCTTAGAGAGCTGTCTCAGAAGTCACATTATAGTCCTGGGAAGACTGATGGGATATTGGAGCAAGCTCAGGGCAAGTTTAGTCATGTAATTGAAGCAAATCTGTGTGCTTTGGTCACTGGCAAATGCCACTTCCCTCTGGACTGTCTCCAGGGAAGGATATGAGCATATTAAACTGAGCTTCTTTCACAGCCAGATAAAAAGCATCACACAGGTAGCACCTTTAATCCTATCAGAACAGCACATAATAAACAGAGCCAAAACCCTCTTTCAGAGTAATACATGACTATTCCAGATGAACATGCTGCTCTGAAGGGACCACATGGAACCTCAGCACAGCCACTGCACATCACAATGCTGTGCATCAGTAGCAGATGATCTTTTACAAAGCATCCTTCAAGTATGTAAGCAACCCTGCCCATCAAGGCAGAGTAGTCTCTGCACCCTTCCCAGCTACACCATAGAAACAGTTGTGATTACTTCAGGATCCTTCATTTCTTGCCCTAAGCCACCTGACATTTGGACCAAGATACCATTACAAGAGGGCAACACTTTGTAAAGGGCTATCAGGCATTTCCAGGAGAGACTTTAACCACAGGCCTCTGTAAATAGTTTTTATTATGCTTTGGAAATTCTCATCACACGTGATCACAACATTGACAGTTTTTAGTGCAAAGTGCTTTGCTGCCTGTTGAACCAGTGTTTAAGCTGTTAGGAAAAGCAGGAAGTTACTTATCAGTCAGGATTGCCTTGAATACAGATCTTTACTGCTTCCCACATTGCCTGTCTGGAGTTATAGACTTGTATTCACCTCATCATATCAAGTCTTTGTTCATCCCCAAGCACACACAGCCAAACCCTGCACTTCTCTGGTATCTGTGAGGACAAAGTCACGTGCCCTCCAAGCCTCTCTCAGATTAACTGTCCAAAACATCACCCATTTTTGGCTGCAAATCCACTGGGATTCTTCCCATCTGGCCATCTCCTCTCTTTTCCTGCTCTCCATCTTCTCTTCTGCCCACGAAGAGTGTGATCACTTCTCCTTGTGAGGAAGATGATAGCGGGAGGTGATGTGGTCCTTCAGATCAAACTCATCATGGCCTTCCCTGAGAGGCAAACACACAGTGCAGTCAGAAATAAACACACAGGCAGGGAACCCACCCTTAGCCACTGCAAAAGACAACTCCCAGCAGCCCTTAACTAGAAACTTTATCACAAGGGTTAGCTGGGAAGACTGTCAGACTTCTTAAGGTATTTGCTAGTAACAGAAACCTCTGAGATGCTTTGTGGAAAGGTCTGCTCATCCTTTCTTGCTAGAATGGGAAATAACAGGTCCCTCTGTCTCCCTCCCTCTGAGAGTTTCATGTCACTGCTGGCTCATTTCCAGCACCAAGTCTGATTCCCAGGCACATCAGCAACTCCTATGACAACAGTCAAAATGATAGTCTGCTCCACAGAAATCTGAAAAATAACTGTTGTGGCTAAAATGCAGCATATTGACAGCTGTCTTACCCATGCTCAGTAGCAGGCAGTCTGGAGTAAGACACAAACTGGCATCTGCAGCATGGAACTGATAGACTCACTCCCCTGCTAGACTGCTGATTCTGCTTTTCTGGATGTTTGCTGTATACTATCTGATATGTGTCTCTATATATGAAACGTGTGCTATCTGAGCTCCCCTCTTCTGGGAATCCAGCCCACTACCAAGCCATAGTAATCACTGAACAATGCTCTCACTGACACTACCCCCCACAAAGCAGTACATCAGCTGCTCCAGAGAACACTCAGCCAATGTGTCCACACACTGGAGCAGTTTAGTCCCTCGAGTCTGACATAACTACTGAGTGTTATTTCCATACTGACCAGCGTTCAGCTCAGATCTGGGTTCCTCCTATCCACTCCCAGTTTTCTCTCCTACTGCCCAGTTTTCTGCCCAACAGGAAGAACAACCAAAAAAAAAGGAAGTGGCTAAGCTTACCTGTGGCCTCCCTCTGGAAGACTTACCGAAAACAGCGCTGGCAGTAGAGGTCCCCAGCCCAACAGGAAAAACAACCAAAAAAGGAAGTGGCTAAGCTTACCTGTGGCCTCCCTCTGGAAGACTTACCGAAAACAGCGCTGGCAGTAGAGGTCCCCATCGCAGCCGTGGCAGCGCAAGGTGGCGTCTTCATTGCAGATACAGCACCAGGGTAACTCATCCTCATCACTCTCCCCTGCCCTGACGAGAGCTGTGGTGGCTGGAGTCTGGCTCTGATTCACAAAGGAAGCATAGACACAGGATTCAGGGCAGAGACAACACAGGGCTTTCATTGTAAGGCGTGATGGCCGCAGTGAGGTGTCACGTGGGCCACAGTTTGCTCTCTCCTGACTCTGAGTCTGTGAGATTAATTTGCCCAGGGATAGGCTCTGTATGTGTCTAGATCACTAAATACAACCCTGAGCTGCTCCTATCATTTGCTCATGAATGGATGTTGCTCAGAAGGTAATCAGCTATTCCTCCTCATTTAGCATCTACAGCAACACACACCAATGCCACCCATGCTGTGTTAAGGGCATGAAGCCCAGATCTTCTGGCAGGTACCACAGCAACATCAAGTGAGGGACAAGCCTTGCTGCAAAGGAAAGCAATCCAGCAGCTTTGCTGAAAGCAGTTCCATAGGAAGGGAGTGGGGAGGTCAGGGGGTTGTTTTCTCCCCATTATGGAAGGAAAACTGGAGGACAAATGAAATGATTTGCCACAAGGCCCCTACTATCAATTTGTAGCCAAGGCTGGGCTGAAAAGATCTTCTGAAATCATAACTTAAGTCTACCTGCCTATGGCCATCTATTGTCTCCTGCTTTCCAGAGAACTCTTGTGGAACTGCACAGCCACACACACATCCTGGGAGAGTGCCTAGCCCCTGGCAAAGGCAGCAGTAAGATGGCATTATCTTTTATATCAGTAATCCCAGGAGCACAAGGTGGCATACCTGTGAGATGGATGTTTTCAATCATGCTTACACTGAGGACAGACTCAGGTGTGAGTCACAACTCCATTTAACTGTGGTAATATACATTACAGAAGGGGTATGTCTTTCCATAGTAGACTGGAATCCACTCTGAGTATAGGATATCTTGTTACTAATTCCTTCCTCTGAGGTTATATGAGAGCACAGATGGTCGATTACTATCTAGAGGTTCCATTCTGCACACACTGGAAGCACTGGCAAACCTCCCACTCACCCCAGTTCAGGCTGTATAGTACTGGACTGGGCCCTTCTGGGTCTAACTATACTGGTGAGTTAAAAATCCCTTCTCCAACATTCATCTTGCAAGGTCTGTGCTAACTTCTCTGGGTTTAGAGGGCAGCACTCCTTTCAGCAGAAAGCCAGTCTGAAAGGAATTGTATTTCAGGGAGCAATTCCTTTTAAAAGAAGTACCAGGATGACTCAAAGCTGTGCTCAGGGCTGGTCAGCCTTCCAGAAGCCACTCAGTTTGTCTGCTCTGGAGAAGCTGGCTGGGTTTTTTTTTCTGCATCATGCCTAGAATACAGCAAACTTTTGCTGCAGAACTTTACTCTCCTGAGAGCCTGGAAGATATTATTTCAAGACATCCATCCTGACCAGCTCACTGACCTTTTGCTTTGCTTTCTTATGCAGGTTCTGTTGCGAGGGTCCTGGTTGAGTGGTCTGATCTGGAGGAATGTTGAATCCACTTGCTTCATCCAGGGCTGCTTCCTCTGTGAGCTGGTAGCAACACAAAGCAAGAAGCCTCTTGCTTCAAACACAGTTGAGAGCCTCACTCTAGGCTGCAAACCTCCTGCCCTTCTCCTTGCTCTCATGCAATAACAGGAGGTTACAAGTCTGAAGCCCCAGGCAGATGGGAACTTGCTCCATCTGCACTCTCAACACCATGTGCCCACTGTGCACAGTCAGAGTAGAAGCAGAAGCTTTCAACTAACACTCTGCTTTGCAGTGCAGCTACCAGCAGACCCTCAGCCTCATGCTCATCATGCCTGTGTGGTCTGCAATCAAGCAGAAAAATAAGCACAGAAAGCTCATGTCTGCCTGCAAGACCATTCATAGGCATTGTACAGAGAAACTGAGGCATAAGCTGTGCTAAACAGCACACTTATTATTTCATCATTATAGCTGGGTGAGGAAAAAGATGAAACAAGTGAGGGAAGAGCAGCAGAATGGGATTGGAGAGAATACACACACCACAAGAGACAAACATGAATAAGAAACAACAGCACAAAGTTATATTGTCCACTGCCTGTAGCTAGGTGGCCCATGGAGGGGAAGGAATGAAGCTGCTCAGGAACAGAAACACATCCTTTCCACACTCACCAGGTAACACACACACAGAGGGAATAACTGAGAGGAAGATGAGCAAGGCCATAGCTGCCACTTCTGACCTGTTTTAGCACTCTGAGAACAGCCTCCTCCTCAGCCACTTCCTCATCACTGTCAGGGAGTTTATAGGTGTCCAGTGTAACTGCAGGAGGAAGAGACAGGAGCCTGTAACCCACACCTGCCCCAAACCTTGTGCCCACCTCTGTCCCACAATCATTTGTGGTGTGAGCTGGTTTTAGCATTCTGGCTCTAGCACAGTCTCCACCCTTTCCAGATGGAGACTCCTCAAAAAAGCACGGAAGATAAATACTGGAAGAGGGAAGGAAGAAATCCCCACCAAAATCAGAGCTTTGCTTTTAAAAGCTTTGGTAAGATCAACTAAGATCTTCCATAGTGATTTCATGATGAATTAACCTGTACAACTTGACAGACAAAAACAAATCTTGGCCTGTGCCTTGCAAAATAAAGGAATTAAACAGATGAACACCTCTCAGAAAATAAATTACTCTGTCACAGGAGCATGGTACCTCTCTTGGTGCTGCATTCTTGTCTGCTACCCACCTTTCTCTGGGTCCTCTCCTCTGAGTGCTGCCAGTCTCTTGGCAATCTGTAGGATCTTTTCCTGCCTAGTGTTCTCTTCCTGTAGCTCAGCAGCAGCTTCTGCTAGAAGTTTACTCTTCTCTTCCTCTAGCTGTTTCGGGTCTAGATTTGCAGGGTGAACAGGATCTTCACCTTCCCCACTGAGATCATTCAAACTTTGGGTGCTCACAGCTGCAAAGAGACACACAGGACATGCTGGTGGCTCAGCAGCAATGACCCTTGGGCACAGAGAGGAGAGCTTGCTGCTCTCCATTAGTCTGGGTAACAGTGGGAGAAGGCATCCCACAGTAGGATCTGCACTGCACATGAAGAGAAGGTGAGTTAATCTGTGTTTTATAGCAAGATTACAAAGCACCACAGCCAGGCAGATTGATTCCAATGCTTTGTACCATCACAAGTGGGTTAGGAGTAGCAGCAGCTCCTCCCTGAAGTCACCTTAGAGAAACAGAGAGGAGCAAGCTGAATAACACAGCCCTGAAATGAAGGAACCCTCTTCAGGCAAAGACAATGAGAGCCAGTATGGAGCTGGATGGCTGCTCTTAGTCACTTTGGGAGTCATAATGGGGAGATAAGGGCACAGTGGACATGCAGCTCACCTGTAAGCTAGCTAGGGAGCTATACATATTCCCTTCTCACTGTAGCACATGTATTATTAGACAGAAACAGATACCTTGAGGCTGGACTCTTGGTTTGTAATGCTCATCAATGGCAACTTCCTCAGACAGTTGAGTTAAAAGGTCATCTGTCTGCTGGACCAGACTTCTAGTATCAGGAGGTTGGTGTACCTATGAAACAAGGAGAGCATGAGAAAAGGCAAATGGGAGGAAAACTGCATACTCAATCAAAGGAAAAGTTCAGTAACCAAGATCACCCTAGGTGGGAGCAGCATAAAAAGATGCAGCCACTGTTCTTGAGAGACTCAGCTTAACTTATCTGGTGTAAAACATTCAGAGCTGCATTCTCAGAGGTGCTGAACGTGCAGAACTCTGAGTACATGCTGCTGGGTCGCAGCCCCAGCTCTGCCACTACCTCCCAAGTAACTGAAGTGCCACTCTCAAGAGTGCCAGCCAGCAGCCCCACTGGGGCCTGGTGTAACAGCTGGGTGTGCAGCACAGATGAAAAAGGAGCTTGAGGAAACAAGGGACAAGACATTGAAGCCTGTGCCTATAATAGGCTTTGAAGGCATCTATCAAACTCTTTCCTCTGTAGTCTCAGACTAATCACTCTGGTTCCATTTCTGGAATAATTAGCAGGCTATTGACTAGCTGGACTGCAGCAATAGCTACAAGATACAATTAGAAGGTAGGGCTGATAAGCCTCAAACACAAACAGCTCTGAAAAAATATCAACCCACATGGGTATGCAAATGAGTTGAGTGGAAAAAAGCCTTGTTAAAAATAAACACATGAACTACATTTGACAGAAAGGAACATACTCTAAACTGAAGCAGGGAACTGCTGAAGGTTTGCTAATGGTTTTCCCTTTGCTTCTGGAGCAATGACACAAACAGGAAGTGGGGATTTCTGAAGGGAGCCACCTGGACACAAAAAAAGCTGAAGGAGGAAGCACGGCCAACATGCTGGGACATCAGTTACCCTGTCAGCTCAGAACACATTGCTGGCTGAAGAGCTGAAGGAGCTTACAGGTCTGAGAGCCTGGGAAGGAGGATCTCTCCCTTGCAGGACAGTCAAGCGGTCCTCCAGTTCCTGTGTGGATGGAACAAGTCCCCAGCAGTCCTCCTTCAGGGCAGCCAGCCTAGCTTCAATCTCAGCCTGAGTAGGAATGGACTCTGCAATTCAGAATAACCCAAGGGAGGAGACTACTCTGTTATTGAAAACAAAAGGCTGCAAAAAGAAGTTTTTCTTAACATTGCATTTCTTTCTGGAATCAGATTCCAAACGCTTGAGGAAAAAACCTCCCCCCACCCCAATGTGAATGAGGGGTCAGACTGCAGGGACCTGGAGACTGCCCTAACACTAACTGCTGTCCTCTTCTCCCTGCCTCCTTCACAGTTTATCTCCTAACCATAAGGCAAGTATTACAGTAATGTCATTTGGCAATCAGCTTACACTGGATACTAGGGACAGGCAGAGAACTAAATGTCACCTAGGCAGTACAGTCCATTGCTCCCACATCTCCTAGTCTCACCCTAGATGTATAAGGCTGAAACCCTCCCCCAACACATAATGGGACAAGAGAAGGTTGTGCCAGGGGAGGTTTAGGTTGGATATTAGGAAAAATGTCTTCACCAAAAGAGTGGTCAGGCATCAGAACAGGCTGCCCAGGGAAGTGGTGGCACCACCATCCCTGGAGGGGTTTAAAAGCCATGTAGATGTGGCAACTGGGGACATGGTTTAGCAGTTCTGTCCCAGAACCTGACAGCTGTGGACTGGGATGAGAGTCCTTTTTCTCCTCTGTGAGGCAAGGCTGGCCAGAACATAACCCCACAGAGACTGGCACTGCTGTTGCCCAGGACAATGACCCATGTGAAACCTGCAAAACAGTTTGGGCAAAGACCCTCAGTTCATTCTGCTCCCATTGGGCTCGACAGAGACCTCAAACAATGGAAAATAGGAAAGTGATTTTACAGGTAAGACACTGCCCTAAGCTAAGAAGCAGTTTCAAGGGAAACCCCAAGAATCAAAAAGAAACCCAAACATTAATCTAAAAATCACTGTAGAATCTGGCCATTGTGGCAGCAGGATGTGGATGCTCTGCTCAATTTTAACCCTTCAGCTGCCTAAAAAGGCAGGCTCTGAAGGCCCAGCACTTCCCTCTCCTTCCAGGTTCCATGCTTCCCAAGTAGCAGTGTTCCCACCCAAGGTATCATCTCCTGTATCCTCCCAAACTCACTTGGTTTCCTCTCCTCCCTGAGCCTGTCCAGTCTCTCTACAATAGCTCTATCCTCTTTTGAGAGCCCCTGGTATCTGGAGCCTGCTTGACATGGGGGCCTTTCAGCTGCCTTCTGTTGCTCTTTCAGCTGGTTCTGCTTAGCCTCAAAAGCTGCTACACGCCTGTGACAAGGATGGAGAAAAGACATGACAGGTGAGAACAAAGGTTTAAACCCTGAGATACAAAAACAGCCTCTGTGAACCCAACAAGCTATTTGAAGAATGCTGGTGTAGAACAGAACAGAAATCTCTTCCTCCTCTACCAGGCTCTCCCAGATCAGCACAATGAGGTCCTCCCAAGAGTAAGGAAAACTTCAGCTCCTAGGAGCAGCACACCTGGCACCATTTCCAAAGAGCCAAGGAACATTTCACCATCAGGTACCCATTTCCAAGCCAACCCCAATTATCAGTGCAGGCCCATGGCTGTTCAGGAGTTTATTCAAGAGAGCAGACTCCCCACAAACAAAAAATCCAAGCAACAAACCAAAAGCCCCATCCTTAATCTAATTCTGAACAAGCAAATACCCACATCACAACCCCAACTTTTGCTGGTCTGTGTAGGGGAAGAGGAGTGAGGGCCTGAAAGGCTCCTCTGTGGCAGAAACAACCATCTGGTTGGCAAGTGGAACTCACTTTTTGTAGTTTTCTGGTGGTGACCATTTTGCTGAACTGCTTTGAGATCCCTCTCTGGAAGACAAAATGATTTATCTGAATGCAAGACACTGGCAATGCTTCAATCATCCAGCCTCTCAACTCAAGAGGAATCAGTACAGGTTTCTCAGCCCCCTGGTGCAGCTCCCTTCATAATCTCATTCACAGGGATAGCAATGAGCCTAAGGAAGGGATTAAGATAACTAAGATGATGATTCTAAGATAACATAGCTGCCTGCAACAACAGGGGACTTCATTTGTAGTTCTTTGGTCCAGTTGTTTTTGCATCTGGACAACACATGATTTAATAGGGTCACCAGTGATCCAAATGAGGTGAGGCTGAAATACCCTCACCTCCCACAGCCTGCAACTCCCAGCTCAGAGAGAAGACACAGTGGTTAGGTCAGACTCCCAGTGTAATTAGTTTCAATGCAGCAGGACACTCCAAAGGGAGCTGTGGCATGCAACAAACACAATTATATCATGCACAAGCTAAACAAAACATTACAAAAACTATTATATAACCATTAGTATCGTAGCAGTGATCTTCTAGCACACTTGGACACTGCACACCACAAAGACATCTTGTGTTGCCATCTTCTGCTTTGTGGTACTGAGGATGAGCTGCTAAATTACACGTTTACAGGAAGTTGTTGGCATATTTTATTCATTCTCAGAAGTCCCAGCTACAAACACATCTGTGCCATGCTGAGGCCTGGAGAGTCACAAAGGAATGCAACAGTGTTGGACAGCTTTCCAGTTCTAAGGTTTCTCCTCTGGAAGTTTTTTTGCATGAAGAACAACAACGTGCAACTTATAGAGCTGCTGCCTATGTGTAGGATCTACCTACTCTCCAGTCAGGGAGGAGTTTTTACTGCTGTAACTCTATAGTCCTGATATTAAACAGATGAGGGAAAAAAACAACCAACAAATAAACCAAACAAACACAAAAGAAGCATCAAAAAAGGCTGCCCTGTTTTCTTAATGGCTTTTTGAGTTGTAAAGGGAAATCAGGAAATTTCAAAACTGACTGAATACTCTATCTTCACCTTCAGCTCACACTGTCCTCACGAGCCAGTGCTTCTCAAATGAAGAACTCTGCTATTGAGAGGCTCTTCTCCTTTCAGAAACCTGCAGAGCCAGAAAATTCCCCACTCACTGATGAAAATTCCTTGCTATAGGACAGCAGTGGGGAAGAGAGGCAGGAGAAATGCAACAGAAGGAGGAGGACACAGAAGGACTGGTTGAGAGAGGGGTTGTGGTGTAGACTTGTGCTCTTGTGTCACATTAATGTGTATAACCCATACTGCTACTGAATTGCATTTTATTGTTTTCAACAATCTACTGGTTATATTTGCAAGTTTTTAATCTTTATTTTTACCCTCAATAATGAGGGTTTGTGTCACTGCTGGCCCACAGATATAGTAACACTTTGGACATCTTATTGTCAGGCTGCTCAACTACTACACATCTGAAAAGACTGCCAGTGCTTTCAAAGGGGCATTGATTTCTGGGCTACTCTGGACTACTCCATCCCCACAAAAAACAGCCTCCCAGACCACAGTTCCTCTGTTTAGGCTGTACAGCTTGTGTAACCAGTTCAGTACCTGCCTGACTGGGACCTCCAGGGTACAGGCAACGTGTTTGCCAAGCACAAGGCCCAGCTCTCCTATGGGGATCTACAACACAACACTGGGATATAAAAAATGAGAAACAAACCAGGACCCTGCCTTTGGGTGAAGAAACACTCCCCACTTACCCAGTCAGAGTTCCATGACACTGCTTGCACACCTTCTGCTGAACGTTTCCACAGGAGGGAACAACAGCCCTGAAGCTAAGGCAGCCCGAGCAGAAGAGGCGCCCGCAGCTCTTGCATCCACACTGTGGGGACAGAGAGAAGGGCGGGACAAGGGCTTCACCTCCCCACCACACAGCCCCGGCCACCACGGGACTAAATGGAACACCGAGGCGACGCTGGTTTTTTAAAGAGAATTTTATCACTAGCTGCTGGTGAAGATACGGAGACTTTCAAGGGCCTTTTGCAGCAGTTCCTAACTCGTGCTGGAAGCAGAGACCCCGTTCCATCCCGCAATACACCCCCTGTGGGGGAATTCTCTGAGACAGCCATCTAATAGGGATTAGAGGGACTACAGCCAATGACTTTTCTTTCAGTAAACGCCCACACTTAAAGACACCTTGAAACCCGGCCCGGGGAGAGCTCAGAAAGGGAGGACAATGCCCCGGCACCGGGCGAGGCAGGTTCCCGGTTCAGACCCTCGCACTGCGGGAGAAGCACCCACGGGACCGGCCGCCCCCGCCCCCGGACTTGCCTCCTTCTTGAAGACAGAGAACCTGGAC